GTGCTGAGAGGATAGAAGTGCCTCAGCAGGAGAAAAGGCAGCTCTAAGTGAGTGCCGAATCACCTTATAGTGGGTAAGCACTTGTTCTTCTATAAGCTGTACAACGGACATGTGCTTACCCACTATAAGCACCGCCTATAACGGGAGGGATGATTAGAAGCTGTAGGGAGTGATGGCGGTGGGAGTGAATACTGAATCGCCTAATATGAGGAGTACCTTCGAGTGTGTGCTTATAAATCTGGAATCGTAACCCCGGATTGTCTTATAACAGGGATGGCAGCACTGGCAAGGGGAGGTGGTGACGAGCGTGTAGGTGCTGCAGAGGCAGCTGAGAGTGAGTAATGGAACACCTTATAGCGGGGATGAGCAGGGCAGAAGGCACAGGGAGAGTTGCTGCAGCTGGAGATGCGGCAGCCAAAGATGAGTGCGGGTAGTGGCTTATAGCGGGGATGAACAGCTTGTAGCGAATTCTGTGTGTGTGTGTGTGTTCTTTTTTTAGCCTCTCAAATCCCAGGGGACTCGCTTTTACTGTCTGCACTGCAGTGGCAGGCAATCGACTCCTTTTGCGAGTGCATTTATTGCAGCAGTGCAGGACTTTTGAGGCGCCTAAAATTCGACTCCTCTGCGAGTGCATTTATTGCAGCACTGCAGGACTTTTGAGGCGCCTAAAAAATCGACTCCTTTGCGAGTGCATTTGCTGCAGTGCAGGGCGAGATTTTGAATGAGTTGATTGCCTGTCTCCTCCGTTCCCTCTCCTCCTTTCCCTGCCCTGTTGCGTTAGGCCCTTGAGTTCCTTCCTAGTGTCGGGCAGTCAGTCCCTGACAGCAGTGAGGGATCGCCTCTACTGCCTGCAGAACAGAACTCGCGAGGGTGTCAGTGGCAAGCACACACGTCTCCACCCCCCACATGTCAATGGCAGGGCCAGGAGCTCCTAGTGTCGGACAGTCAGCCCCTGACAGTGCAAAGGGATCGCCTCTACTGCCTGCAGAACAGTTTCGGGCGGGACTCAATGGAATGTTTTCTCCCCTCCACTCCCTTCTGCTGCCGACTCCACCCCATGCCACGGCCAGAAGACCTTATCGTTGGGCAGTCAGCCTCTGACACCGCTAAGGGATTGCATCTACTGCCTACGAGACAGTTTCGTCTGAGGGATTCAACGGAACGTTTCCTCCTTCCCCAAATCAGGGCCAGGAGTTCCCAGTGTTTGGTTCCCAGTGTTTGGTTCCCAGTGTTGGGTTCCCAGTGTTGGGTTCCCAGTGTTGGGTTCCCAGTGTTGGGTTCCCAGTGTTGGGTTCCCAGTGTTGGGTTCCCAGTGTTGGGTTCCCGGTGTTGGGTTCCCAGTGTTGGGTTCCCAGTGTTGGGTTCCCAGTGTTGGGTTCCCAGTGTTGGGTTCCCGGTGTTGGGTTCCCAGTGTTGGGTTCCCAGTGTTGGGTTCCCAGTGTTGGGTTCCCAGTGTTTGGTTCCCAGTGTTTGGTTCCCAGTGTTGGGTTCCCGGTGTTGGGTTCCCAGTGTTGGGTTCCCAGTGTTGGGTTCCCAGTGTTGGGTTCCCGGTGTTGGGTTCCCAGTGTTGGGTTCCCAGTGTTGGGTTCCCAGTGTTGGGTTCCCAGTGTTGGGTTCCCGGTGTTGGGTTCCCAGTGTTGGGTTCCCAGTGTTGGGTTCCCAGTGTTGGGTTCCCGGTGTTGGGTTCCCAGTGTTGGGTTCCCAGTGTTGGGTTCCCAGTGTTGGGTTCCCAGCCCCTCGTTTTGAGGCGCCCCTCACAGCACCAAGGGATCGCATCTACTGCGTGCAGGACAGAATCTGTAATGAGTGCAAAGACACGCGTCTCCTCTCCTCCCTTCCCTTGGCTGCCATGCCGGCCCCTCACAGCACCAAGGGATCGCATCTACTGCGTGCAGGACAGAATCTGTAATGAGTGCAAAGACACGCGTCTTCTCTCCTCCCTTCCCTTGGCTGCCATGCCAGGGCCAGGAGTTCCTAGTGCTGGGCAGTCAGCCCCTGACGGCTCTGAGGGACCGCATCTACTGCGTGCACCACAGAATCGCAAGAGTCTAGTTTTGAGGCGCCTCAAAACTGTGTGCACGACAGAATCGCAAGAGTCTAGTTTTGAGGCGCCTCAAAACTGCGTGCACGACGGAATCGCAAGAGATTCTATGGATTCTTTTTCCCCTTTTCCACCCCTCCGCATATCAGGGCCAGGAGTTCCTGGTATTGGGCAGTCAGCCCCTGACAGCCCTGAGGGACCGCATCTACTGCCTGCAGGACAGGATTGCGAGGGAGCATGGCAAATCCGTTCCCTCGGGGTTCTTCTGCATTGAGGTAAGGGCAGGGGAGAGGGGAGGACGAGAGCCTTGGGGCACCCTTGATCGACCTGCTATAGGGATCTCATCTCAGCCTGCAGGACAGGATTGCCAGGGACCATGGCAAGTCCGATCCCCCCGGGTTCTTCTGCAGTGAAGTGAGGGCGAGGGGAGGACGAGGGGGAGAGGAGGACGAGGGGAGAGGAGGACGAGGGCCAGGGGACACTCCTGCATTGACGCCTTTACGAATCATTACGAATCACATGCACATGCACATGCACTGTCTGCAGGATAGATTTGCCAAGGACCATGGCAAGTCCGTGCCGTCTGGGATCTTCTGCATTCGGTGAGGGGGAGGGGAGGACGAGAGCCAGGGGGGGGCAGTCCTTAAGTGACTCGGTATAGGGATTTCATGTTTTGTCAGGGAGATATTTTGGAGGCGCCTCAGAAATGGGCTAGGCGGGGAAGAGAGCAAGGGGCAGTCCTTAAGTGACTCGCTATAGGGATTTCATGTGTTGTCAGGGAGCTATTTTCCCTCCTCCCTCTTTCCCACACTCCCTTCTCCTTTTCTTCGCCAGGACGTGTTCTATGACGACATGAGGCAGCCCGGTGCAGTGCGGTACAGCGCGGTGATCCTCAAGTGGAACCGGGAGAAGCGGGCAGCCTGGTCGATGCTGGACGAGAAGGAGAGGCGGCGCAACACGCCCCTCGCCCGCCTGCCCCTGCCGCCCCCAGTGCGAGGCATGGCCATGGGCATGGGCGCCAGTCAAATCTTCCAAGAGCACCAAGACCACATTGGTCAAGAGCAGACTGGTCAACAGCACTACCATTATCAGCAGCAGCAGCAGCAGAGGGTGCGGGTGAGTCTGGGCGACGCCCCGCCCCCGGAGTACTCGGCTGCAAGGATGGAGACGACACGGTTCAGAGACCTGACTGTGCGGCCGGGGGCACTCTATGTGTACATGCACCAGGTGGGCTACCGTGTTACATGCACCAGGTGGGTTACATGCACCTAAGTAGGTTACCATGTTGCATGTGGAGCACCAGGCAGGTTTCCTTACATGTGTGTGTCATGCACCAGGTGTGTTACCTTGTTACATGAAACACGGCGTGTCACATGCACCGCGGTATGTCACATGCACATGTGTACGACCTCTGGCTTTAAGTAACTCAGAAGCTTCTTCCATTCTCCTTTATCTTCAATCTCACCACTACTCCTTTCATGGCCCAGTTTCATTCCCTGTTTTCCCCAGGGTGCACGCAAGCCTGCCTGTCACATTGTCTTCATTCGCCTGCTACCCCCTTTGACCCCCTCTCGTTGCTTGGACAACCCACATCCCCCCCATTCTCCGTCCCTCTAAATGTGCCCAGGGCGCATGCAAGCACGCCTTTCGGGTCACAGACATCCGCTTGCTACACCCCCTCGACACTCTCAACGCTGCCGATTATCCACTACTCTCGCACGAGCCGCGCTGCTACCTGCGTCGCTGCAGTGTGTGCGATGTGAACCCGAGCACCAGGGTGGTGTACCATGATAAGCTGCTTGCTGTTGACCCGTCCTTTCTATGCGAGCAGTGTTACCACTTGTTACACTATGATGAGGAAGGTAATCTCCTGTACAGTGATTTTCAAGTGTTCAACTACTATCATGAATGATGAACTACATTTCATAGTGTATTTTTATCGTTTGCACTTTCATGCTGAGAGTATTCGAATTAGGATAACTAAACTATTCCGTTGTGATAGTATTGTGTGGGACCCTTCGCTTCAAGCTCGTGGGTGATTGTGGTTCAAATTGCTGGGCTGTCAGTTACACGGCCAATCGTCAGCAAGGTCTCATGGATAAGCATTGCGCGATCTGCGGTGTTTCTGACTCTCGCTGTCAGTGGCATCCTTCCACGTGGATTTGACTCTTATGTTTTCATTCGGGTCAAGCTTCCTCGATTATGTCGGTGCCGCTGATTCAGGGGGGCAGCACTGCGACCATCGTCGCAGCGGACGAGTTTTGTCGGTGTACTTGTCGCATGATGGACGCAAAGCTCCAGTGGCCTAGTCGTCGAGTGGCAGTGTGCGTCGTCGGAAGTTCGCTGCCCGCCGCTGCAGTCGCAGGACGCCGAAATCACCCAAACTCGCGTCGTGACTCGTGAGGCATGACGGGCACCACGCGGCGAGTCGCGCCTAGTCGCGTGATTGGAGCAATTTCAATTTGGCAATTCCCGAGGATTCCTGCCCGGCGCGCTGCATGTCATGTAACCCGCTCAAGGCTGCTGCTCTTCACTCCCACCATTATCGAGCATGATGCGACGAGACTGCTTGCTAGAATCATCCATTCGCTGGCATTATCCATTTTCGCATTGGCCAGAGGCGGCTGCTTGCACAAAACTGCAACCTCTTTTCGACGGGGAGGGGATTTATGTGATGGTTGTTCGGTTCGGCGGTTGGTTTCGTTTCGTCGGCCACCGAGTGGATGACCCAGATTCCTTTGAAGTTGATTCTTCAGGGCATGCCACAATTATTCACTTAACGCGGTTCAATAAGGTTCTTTGCGTTTTAGAGGCATTCCATCAACATTTAGAATGGCTGGGAGGGGTTTCGACGAATGACACCACTTGTCATCCTGGATGATCGAACTCCCCGTCACCCTAGGGACGTCAGTTGGTACAAATACCACCACTCTCCCCCTCTTCCCCCCCGCTCTCCCCTCCATTATTTGTACTTGGACTAGCTGCTTATCAGCGAGCAGCCTCGGATTATTACCTTGCGCATCCCAGTCCTAACTTCTCATTGTAGAACACTACTTCCCAGGCGCAGGTCGTGGTCATTATAGCCGTGTCACCAGCAGATAGGGATTTATTCTCCCCGCAGATAGGATTTATTCCCCTCAGTTGGAAAGCACAGCTGCTGTCGCTGTTATTACCGGGTGTGCTAACATGACCTCTCTAGCGCTTGCCCCTATGCTGGGCTGGTCGCAGTCCATAGTTTCCGGAGACATCGCAGCGTGCGATTCGCCGGGCAAACAGGGAACGCGATCTTCCAGGTTCAGCGTACCTGTGCAGGCGGTTCATCCGTCCCTCACAACCAGCAGCAACAACAGATTCAAAGAATCCCACGTTGCATCGCAATCCACGTCAGCAAGGCACACTTCAATCATTCCCACGTCAGCAAGGCAACCGTCAATCATCCCCACGCCAGAATGGCAGCCTATCGTTTCTTCCGCCGGAGAAGAGCAGCCGCTTCAGTCGCCTGCACCGCGAGTGGACGCCTCGGAGCGGAAGGGAGTCGCGAGGGACCCGCTGCTGCTGCGAGTGGCTCGTGGCGAAGGTAAATAGATCCACTCTTGCTTACTCAGGGTCATCTTCGGTCACCGTCGCTCACCTTTGGCTACCCCTGCGCATGCCTTGGTAGCGAGTCTGCGTGCGCGTTTTGCCTGGCGAAATAAGCGAGCGTGCTGTGGAAACTAGGTTTTCGCCTTGACATCTCTCTATTGACCGCTCAGTCGGTGTCATTTTCCATCAGGACGCATGGTCCCCGTCGTTTACTTCATTTTGTACGCAATGTTAATTTGTGTGTATATGTGGCCTTTTCTCGATGCATCGCAGAAGCGGAGCGTACTCCAGTGTGGCTGCTCCGCCAGTCAGGCCGTTATCTTGAAGACTTCCGAAGGTGAGCACTGAGCTTCCACCACCCGCGGCACTGAGCTCCCACCACTCGCGTTTTCTTAGCGCGGAACGTGCGCTTCCTTTACAGGCTAATGCGAGCTGGTTTCCCTCTCGCGGCGCGATAAGCCATTTGCGCAGACGCCGTTTCCTGCTTTTATTTTCATTTCCTTCGTTCCCACACTCAATTTTTGAGTCGACTCAAAAATCACGTACTCAATTCGCCTCGTCATGCATTATCTCTCTCCCTCCCTTGGCTCTCCGTTTCGTTTCCCGCAGGCTCTCTGAAGGCTATTCCTTCAGGGAGCGTCTCGAGAACCCCGAGTTAGTGACGGAGCTGTCGCTGCTGCCGTGGCGAAAGTTCGCGACGGACGCGGTGGTCCTTCTATCGGACGTGCTCGCCGTGCTGCCGGGCGTCGGGCTCGAGTTCGACATGGTGCGAGGCAGAGGCGCTGTCGTCGCTACGCCCGTGCGATCGCGAGAGGACCTTATGAAACTACGGTAGGTTGCGGTGGGACTAAGGTATCTCTCTCCCTCTGAGAGGTTAGGGTAATCGGTGCGGTCGGGCGTGGGTCTCGAGTTGAACTCGGTGCGAGGCAGAGGCGCTGTCGTCGCCACTCCGTTTCTATCGCGTGAGTGTTTTTTAGATAGATTTAGGCCGGGCCCCTGGACGACGCCGGCTCGCAGCTGCCGCACCTTCCGCCCCGCGCTCGCCGCTCTCCCGCGAGAGACCCTGCTGCCGCAGCGCTCGTCCCTTGTGACGCCGACTAAATACACTCCACCCTCTCCCCGTGTTTCTCTATCTCTCTCGTATTCAGGCCCTTGGACGATCCCGACACGCAGCTGCCGTACCTCCGCCCCGTGCTCGCCGCCCTCCGGCGCGAAACAGCCGCCGCTGCCGCCGCCACCAGCAGCAGCAGTAGGGATGGTAGCGGGCGCGACAGTAGCGGGGACAGGGACGGCGGGGCGGCGGTGATGGGATTCGTGGGGGCGCCGTGGAGTGTGGTGGCGCACGCGGTGGAGGGGCAGGCGGACCAGAACCTGTTTCTGACCAAGTTAATGATGATGCACGGTGGGTATTGCGGCGTTCTTAACGTGTGGTATATGGTGTGCGGTATGCTGCGTTGGGCGTGGTATGCTGTACGGAGTGAGGTGTCGCACGCAGTGGAGGGCGACGTGGTCCAGACCCTGTTTCTCAATAAGCTGATGATGACGCATGGTGGGTGATTGACGTTTCGATTGTGCTTACTGTGCTGTATGGTGTGTGTTGCGCGTTGAGTCGTGTTTTGCACGCTTTCCCCCTCCGTGGCATCCTCTCCGATGTCTCGTTTCTCGTCTAGGTTCATCTCATTCCATTCCCCTCCTGAAACCCTTGATTTTGCAGGGTGTTTTTGAGAATTCTCAAAAACACCCTGCAAAGTCTTGTTTCTCGTCTAGTTTCATCTCATTCAATTCCCCTCCTGAAACCCCCTCTGCGTCACTCCCTCGCAGATCCGGATCTTCTACACGACATCCTTTCCTTCTTCGAAGACGCACTCGTGGCCCTCGCCATTCACCAGATCGACTGTGGCGCTCAGGTAACCATGCATGCCCCCCTCGCCTCTACCTTTTCCCGTCCAATCCCGCTGTCGCAATTCCACGCTCCGTGTTCCCAATGTCAGTGCTCCCTAGCCCTGGCCTTGCACTTGGTCGACTGGCATCGACTCTGTGCTTTATTGCTTGCGACAGATGCTTGTCAGTGCCAGCCTCTATCGCACTTCCTCCATCGCACTTCTCCCTTCATCTCTCCTCCTTCTCTCCTCCTCTGCGTCTCTCCTCCCTCCACCCGTTCCCCCTCCCCTCAGATCATCCAAGTGTTCGACTCGTGGGCGCACCACCTCTCCCCGCCGCAGTTCGCCGCCTTCTCTCTCCCCTACACCAACCGCCTCATCACCCGCATCCAGTCCGCGCGCCCGCACGCGCCCGTGCTCCTGCAGACCATCGGCAGCACGGGCAAGCTGCACCTCATAGCGGAAAACTGCCCGGCCAACATCGTCGGGCTCGACTGGGGGTGCGACATGAGTGAGGCGAGGCGGTTGTTCGGGGAGGGGGTGGTTTTGCAGGGGAACGTGGACCCCATGGCCCTGCTGGGCCCGAGGGAGTACCTGACGGGTGCTGTTGCGGAGTGTATTAGACAGGGGGGCGGGTCCCGGCATGTGTTGAATATTGGGCATGGGGTGGTGCAGGACACCCCGGAGGAAGCAGTGGCTCTCTTCTGCCAGCTGGCGAGGGAAGAGAGTGCGAGGTTCCGAGCCGGGAACGCTGCTGCCGAGCCTGTTTTCCGAGCCGGGTCTGTACCGAGCGAGGCATATGTCCCCGGCACGACCACTGCGGCGGCACAGGGAACAGAGCAAGCTGCCAGAGCAATCTCTCCACCTGAGGCTTGTGCAGCAGGGAAAGGAGCTGACCATGCCAGTCCTGCCGATGCCAGCCAGGCTGCTTCTAGCGCTGCCATCGCTGCCATCCATGCCACGTGGGGAGTGGGGGACACCATGCCCCTGGGCGTGGCTGCTGCTGCTGCCTTCCCCTCGCTCTCATCCGCCCTGCTGGCCTCAGCCCGCCACTCGTTGTCCTCACTGTCTAGCCCATCCAGGAGGCGCCGTTACAAGTCAGGCTGCTAGTCAGGCTGCTTACAGCTTCCAGTGCTGCTGCCTTCCCTCCCTCTCACTCGCCCTGCTGGCCTCGGCCAGCTGCTGCTTCAAACCAGTCTGCTGAGCAGTGGCTAGGCCCACCCTGCTGGCTTCCGCCTGCCACTCGTTGCCACTACTGTCACGTTCATCCAGGGCGCGCTGCTACAAGACTGGCTGCTGCATACAGAGGCCATTTTACTGTAATGAGGCTTTGGCTCGCCACTCATTATTGTCACTTTCCAGCCATCCAGGAGGCGGCTTCGCTACAAGACTGGCTGCTGAGTGGCAATACAATTTTGTTATGGGGACCATTGCTGGTCTGAGGCTCTGGTATTTGTAGTAGATTGTTGTGGGTTATGTACAATATATTTTAGTAGAAACTTGTTCATTTTAGGTTCGGAACCACCTTGATCCTAACGTCAGATCGGAAGATTGGGCTTGCATGATTGCCGCTTTCGGAGATGTAAATGATTCTCGTTATAAGATGATGAGAATGTGGGAGCTTCATTACGCGAGCATTTTGCTACAATTTGTTGTTGGCTTGCGAAAAACTCGAGGCTTGGCAGGGAAATATGCTATGCTCTGCTCTGGTCACTCTGCTCACCTTCTACTCACCTGCTCGCTCACTTGAGGCGTATCACCAAAAATCGTTTTGGCAAAATACCATACTAAACCGCTCTAGAAATTTATTCGACCGCTTCAGAACGCAAAACATCTTTGCGAACCGCAATCGGACGTACATTAGTGACACGCCCTTAGTCAGCTCGCCTCCCCTCAGCGGTCCGTTTCATATGGTAGCAGTCGGAAGTTTTTACACGCTCCCTACATCCAGCCATACCCTCGTCTCTGGTCCTTAGCTCTGTGTTGCTACGTACCCTCCGTCCGCCCGCTCCGTACTCTCGGTTCGCGTCGCACTCCTTGTATCGAGCGGTACCTCCGGTCGCCGCAGTGGCGCCGTTCCTTGGTCGACTCCTTTTCTATCGCCCGCCTGTTTCCTCGGTCGCATGTTCAACTTTCCACCAGCGCGTGTTAGTGAGCCGATGAACTCGCAGTCCTCACTTTAAGGCGCCTCAGAAATACCGTCCGCCTGTCCTCTCGGTCGCATTTTCCACCAGCGCGTGTTGGTGAACACGCGGCGGTGCTTGCTTTGGCCGTCATCGCATCGCGAGCCGTCGTATAGCGTCGCAACCTGTCGCACGGCGTCGCATTTCACTATTTCGTCGTCGCTTTCGTCGCCAGCCTATCGCGCGACGACGAGGACGTGTCGCCAGGCGTGCGATGGACCCCACTCAGCGAAGCGCCATCGTCATCGATAATGGCTCCGGGTAACCACTTTCGTTTTCCTCCTTCCGTTCTCCCCCCTTCCGCTCCCCTTGTCACCATCCCTCCCCATGTCACCGCATCTCTCCCCTTGTCACCGCATCCCACCCATTCTCACCCCACGGCTTCCGCTGTCACCCCTCTGTGGTCGCCTGCCTGCCGCAGCCCACCCATTCCCACCCCTTCGCGCTCCCTCTTCTTCTCACTCCCCCTGCCACGCACCCACGCACCCACCCCACCCCCCGTCCGCCCTGTAGGTTCACACCAAGATGGGTTTCGGCGGTATCTTGGAGCCCAGCTTTGTCATCCACACCATGGTTGCCTGCCACGACTCATTTGCCGCTCTCCTTGCCGCTCTCCTTGCCGCTCTCCTTGCCGCTCTTTTCTGATCAGTGAATATCCTTTCCCACCTGCACTGCACCTCCTCCTATAGGTTCACCAAGATGGGGCCCAGCAGTAACTTGGAGCCCGGCTTTGCAATCCTCCCCACCATCGTTGCCGGCCACGACTCCCTTGCTGGCTCCCTCCCCCTGCCTCTTCTTCGTTCTCACCGTACCCATATTGTCCCACCCACCCACCCACCCACCCACCCACCCACCCACCCACCCACCCACCCACCCACCTACCCCCGTTCTCCCAGGTTCACCAAGATGGGGTTCGGCGGTAACTTGGAGCCCAGCTTTGTCATCCCCACAGTAGTTGCCTGCCACGACTCGTTTGCTGGTTCCGCTGCTCTGGCGGCTCCTGCAGCCAATCCCGTGTCGCCAGCTCAGCAGCAGCAGCAGGCCCACGTGGCAGCGCTCATGGCTGACCTGGACGTCCACGTGGGCGAGGCGGCGTACGCTGCCGTGCGATCTGGGCCGTACAAGCTGACGCACCCAGTGCAGAGAGGTCAGGTGCGTGTTGACTCGAACAGATGGTTGGGGATGCTTTATGGGCTGCACTGGGAGGCGGCGTATGCTGCTGTGAGGTCTGGGCCGTACAAGCTGACGCACCCGGTGCAGAGAGGGCATGTGGGTGGAAGTAGATAGAAGGGTGCACAGGATTTGAGTGATGCAAGCATGATCTGCACCGTACTTGGAAACGTGTGCAGATCATGCAGGGTACAAGCTGACACGTCTCCAGTGCAGGGGGGACAGGTGGGTGCAGTGCAGAGGGAGGGGGCAGGTGGGTGGATGGAGAAGGTTAGCGAAACATGCTGAATGAACCACAGCTGAGGCGGGCGAGGCAGGGCACGCTTCTGTGAGATCTGGGCCGTACAAGCTGACGCACCCGGAGCAGAGGCGACAGGTGGGTGCAGAGGGGACATGCAGAGGGGACAGGGGGGTGCAGGTACATAGGAAGGAAAGCCCAATTGAGTTCACCCCAATCACTCGTTGCTCTCTATGAGTGCCGTGTCTCTCTTTGCTTATGCGCTTTGCATGCCAGATAGAGGCATAGGATGGATGCCATGGTTTTGAGTCGACTGAAAAGCAGATAGAGGCATAGCATAGGATGGATGGATGCGATGGAGCACCTGAGGCTGTGGCAGCAGACGCATGTGCCTTAAGCTTCCATTTCTCCTCTCCCGCTCAAGTGTACGCCTCCCTTCCCCCCCCCCTCTCTCCCCCAGTCTGTTCCTTCACTCTGTTCCTTCACTCTGTTCCTTCTCCCTGTTCGCCTGTTCCTATCCCCTACGCATTTTGAGTCGACTCAAAATGCACCTGTTCGCCTGTTCCTATCCCATACCCCGCCAGATCGAGGCGTGGGATGCGATGGAACACTTGTGGCAGCAGGCGCTGTTCAAGCACCTGAGGGTGGAGCTGAGTCCCGAGATCCCTCAGTTGCTCTCTCCCCTTCTCTCTCTCTCTCTCTCTCTCTCTCTCTCTCTCTCTCTCTCTCTCTCTCTCTCTCTCTCTCTCTCTCTCTCTCTCTCTCTTCCTTCTCTCTGTTCGCCTGTTCCCATCCCCTACCCCTCCAGATAGAAGCATGGCACCTGAGGTTGGAGCCGGAGGAGCAAGTGCTGCTGCTGGCAGAGAGCCCTCTCACCTTCCCCCAACCGCCTCCCCCCACTCTCTCTCTCTCTCTCTCCCCCTCTGTCTGTCGACTCGTGTGCATCCCAGATAGAAGCGTGGGATGCGATGGAGCACCTGTGGCAGCAGGCGCTCTTCAAGCACCTGCGGGTGGAGCCAGAGGAGCACGTGCTGCTGCTGGCGGAGAGCCCGCTCACCCCGCCGGAGCACCGAGAGTACATCGCAGAGATCATGTTCGAGACGTGAGTCGATGGGTGGCGTAGTGAGAGCAGAGAGGCCATCACCCCGGTACTCCTGCTCACTCCAGCACTCCTGCTCATTCCCCGGGACGAGCACGTACTGCTGCTGCAAGAGAACCTGCTCGTTCCGCCCGAGTACCGAGAGTACATTGCAGAGATCATGTTCGAGACGTGAGTGCATTGCGTGCGGAAAGCAGAAAGCCCTCTCACTCCGGGAATCCTGCTCACTGCCCCGGAGGTGACTTTTGAGTCAAAAGTCTTTTGACCATGTACTCAAAAAGTCTGCGCCGGAGGAGCACATGCTGCTGCTGCTGCCAGAGAGAGCCTGCTCACCCTGGTGGAGTGAACGCGGGGAGTGCATTGCTTGCAGAGATCATGTCCGAGACGCGAGTATATGGCATAGGTAGCACGTGCTACTGCTGGCAGAGAGCCCTCTCACTCCGCCGGAGCACCGAGAATACATTGCGTTGCGGAGATCATGTTTGAGACGCGAGTATATGGTATAGGTAGCACGTGCTGCTGCTGGCAGAGAGCCCTCTCACTCCGCCGGAGCACCGAGAATACATTGCTTTGCGGAGATCATGTTTGAGACGTGAGTGCATGGAAGAAATGCGAGAGAGCAAAGCGTTCTCCCATTCCCTCTCACTCCCTCTCACTCCCTCTCACTCCCTCTCACTCCCTCTCACCCCCTCTCGTCCCTCTCACTCCCCTTCACTCCGGTTCACTCCGGATCACTCCCCTGGACTGGAGCTCCGAGAGGAGATTGCATTGCAGTGATCACGTTTGAGACGTGAGTCGATGTGTGGTGCTGTGCATTTCTCCCACTAAGCGGAGAGCCCTCTCACGCCCTCTCACCCCCTCTCACCCCCTATCACTCCCTCTTACTCCCCCTGGGCACCAAGAGTACATCGCTGAGATCATGCCTGAAACGTGAGTGCACAGCTTATGGAGAGCAGAGAGGCGCCTTACAACCCCCCCCCCCCCCCCCCCCCCCCCCCCCCCCCACTCCCCCACCCCCCCCTCCCCGAGCAGTGAGAGTCTGCTGCTGAAATTATCGCTGCAGAAAACATTGCGTGAGGAGTCTATTTTTTAGGCGCCTCAAAAATAGACTCCTGACGCGTTCATTAGCACATGTGTGATGCATGTATATGAGAGCGGAACGAACAATGTTCAGCCCAACCCAGCACAACCCAGCACAACCTGTTGCCAATGTTGCCAACCCAGCACAACCTTCTGTGCTCATGTGTTGAAACTCCCAACTCTCAATAAGTGTTTTCTCAGGCTTCCCCCCCCAGGTGTCATGCAGCTTCAACGTGGTAGGTCTGTACACATGGCCAGTCAACCATCCCCTGCTGTCTTTTCCCATGTCCCCGTACAGATTCAATGCCCCGCACAACCCCCCCCCTCCCCCCCTCCCCCCCGAAAGCATCATGCAGCTTCAACGTGTCAGGGATATACACATGGCCAGTCAACCCTCCCTTGCTGTCTCTCCCCATCTCCCCATACTTACCCAGTGCTCTCTCACAACACCCTCTCCTCCCCCCCACACCGCTCCTGCCCCCCTCCCCTGCAGCTTCAATGTGGCTGGGCTATACATGGCGAGTCAACCCTCCCTTGCTCTCACTGCGGCAAACACTGCAGCTCAGGTGAAGGCAACAAACTTGGCAGGCAGACACAGCTCTTGCTCTTGTCTCCCTTGCTCTCGGCACACCAGCTCCTTTGAGCGTGATGGGAGAAAGCAGGTGAAGCTGTGCCACGTGCTACTCTAGCAGGTCCCTAAGTTGGCTCCGATTCCTCTCAGGCACTTCCACTCCGCTGGTGAGCAATGCCTCGTCAAGCCCCCAGTCTCCCTACCACCGTTCCCCTTCAGCTTATTCAGAATGCATCCCCCACTTTTCCCCCCTCCTGCCGGTCCCAGTGACAGGCGTGGTGAATGGGCGCGGGGTTTGCGTCTGCTGCCTCTGTGGTACCAGTCGTAAAGGGCTAAGTGCTGGGGGGACAGCTCTCTCTGCTCCTTGAGCCTACTCAAACCACATCCCCATCCTTTGCGCCCCTTCCCCTCTCACCAGCTCCCAATGACAGGCGTGGTCGCAGACGCTGGCTTTGGCTGCGCCTGCGCCTCTGTAGTGCCGGTAGTGGAGGGCTATGTCATGAGGGGCAGCTCCCTCTGTTCCTTTGGTGTGTTCAAGCACCAACCCCATTCTTCATGCTGCATCCCCCACTCCCCTTCCCAGGTCCCAATGACCGGCGTGGTCGTAGACGCTGGCTTTGGCTCAGCCTCCGTGGTGCCAGTGGTGGAGGGCTATGTGCTGGGGGGCAGCTCCCGATCGATGCCCGTTGGGGGCGCTCACTCCACGGCCTTTGTTCAACAGCTGATGCGGGTAATGTTTGTGTGTGCGCGCGCTGCACTGTTCTTACTCGACTGGGTTGGTGGAGGGCTACGTGATGGGGTGCAGCTCTCGATCGATGCCAGCGGGGGGTGCTCACTCCACTGCATTCGGGCAACAGCTGATGCGGGTAATGTACATGCTGATGCCTCGGCCCCTGTGGTGCCAGTGGTGGAGGGATACGTGCTGGGGGGCAGCTCCCACTCGATGCCAGTGGGGGGCGCTCACTCCACTGCGTCCATGCAGCACCTCATGAGGGTAATAATGCTTGTGTATGTGCATTGTGGAGCTACTTTTCATGCATGTTGTCTGAGCAGTTACAGTCCATGTTGCAAGGTTGCAATCTATGCATGCGGCTTGTGAGGGTAACATTCAACCTGCCCCCCAGTTTCTGCTGTGTGTGCGCACTCTACTCTGCTGTGTGTGTGCTCCAACATTTGCTGCTTCGGGTGTCTATTATTCCTTTCATGGGGTGATGATGCCTGTTTTCCCATGTGGTTACCATGTGGTTACCATGTGGTTACTGTGTGGTTACCATGCGGTTCCCTTGTGGTTACAGGATCGAGGGGAGCCGGTGCCAGTAGAGGAGGCAACGGAAGTGGCGAGGAGAGTGAAGGAAACCTACGGATACACATGCTCTGACCTTGTCAAGGTACGGTCAATGTACGGCTTTAACTGCACATGCTCTGACCTGGTCAAGGTATGCATGCTCTGACCTGGTCAAGGTATGCATGCTCTGACCTGGTCAAGGTATGCATGCTCTGACCTGGTCAAGGTATGCATGCTCTGACCTGGTCAAGGTATGCATGCTCTGACCTGGTCAAGGTATGCATGCTCTGACCTGGTCAAGGTATGCATGCTCTGACCTGGTCAAGGTATGCATGCTCTGACCTGGTCAAGGTATGCATGCTCTGACCTGGTCAAGGTATGCATGCTCTGACCTGGTCAAGGTATGCATGCTCTGATCTGGTTACACGTGCAGAGATTTATATTGTTGCTTACTGACGTTACTTATGCACCCGCTGATATACGCGTGTTTCCTTGAGCTGAAATTGTGAATCCATCCACTTCGGTATGTTCAGGACTTATCAAAGCACAACAGACAGGCATCAAGGTACCGCAAGGTGCAGACGGCCACCAATGCCAGCTGATGTCTCCCTTTCCTCTCCGCCCCTCCTCCCTTGCGCGCCTCTGTGCCCTTCCCCGTGATCAGGAGTTCACGAAGCACGACAGAGAGCCGTCAAGGTACCGCAAGGTGTGGACAGCCACCAACGCCCGCACCAACACGCCCTACCGCTGCGACGTGGGGCACGAGCGGTTCCTGGCAGCTGAGGTGAGGTGGTGCGCATGGGGTGTAGGGTTAAGGCTTACAGGTTAAGGCTTGCACAGCTTGAGATTTAGCCCCCTGTAGGTCCGTCCGGAGAAACAGCCACCAACGCTCGCACCAACATGCCCTACCGCTGCAACGTGGGGCAAGAGCAGTTTTTGGCTGCTGAGGTGGGGTGAAGCTCTTGGGTTCAGCGTCTCGGGTTTTGGTTTCAGGGAAGGTGGAACCCTCCTATAAGACTATCTCAAGGGACGGCCACCAATGTTCGCACCAGCACACTGTGGGTGTGTGGGGCACGAGCGCTTCCTGGGTTCTGAGGTGAGGTAGTGCCCCTAGGGTTTAAGGTTTCGGGTTTGGGGCAAAACATTGAATCCTCCCTACCGCTGCATTGTGGGGCACGAGTGCTTCCTGGATGCGGAGGTGCGGTGATGCGCACGGGTTCAGGGTTTAGGGGTCAAGGTTTAAGGACTAACCCTCACGTATGGCTGGATCAAGGCACGGCCGGCCACCAATACTCGCACCAACACGCCCTACTGCTGCGATGTGGGGCGCGAGAGGGTTTTGGCTGCTGATGTGAGTGATGCGCTTGAGTGAGTTTTTTTAGAATTCTCAAAAAACTGATGTGCTTGCAGGGTGCATGTGCATATGTGTGCGCCAACACGCCTTTCCCTTACTGCTGTGCGCTTAGGGTTTGGGGTTAGGGTTCAACCTCCCTGTTTTTCAAAAGACGGCCACCAATCTCTGCACCGACGAGCTGTACCACTGCGACTCGAGGCTGCTGAGGTGATCCTCCTGAGGTAGAATTGTTTTGAGGCGCCTCAAAACTAGACTCTTATGACGAGGCTGCTGAGGTGAGGTGGTCCTACCGAGATTTTTTTTATAATTCCCAAAGCGCCTCTCCGCGAGGCGATCCTCTCCGCGAGGCGATCTTCACCGTGTGTCAAACACTGTGGCTCTACCCTCTCTCCCTGTCCTTTCCCCTGAGGTCGCAGTCAGCGACGTCGGCGCTTTGCTGGCAGAGCTGGTGGGTGCTGCTGTGCTGACCACTGGTGTTTCGTGATATGGAGTAAAAAATAGTGCCATGTATGCTGCTTCCCGTGACCCGTCGCATCCCTCCCTCCCTCTCTCAGGTCTTCGTGTGATGGTAATCTCGTTTTGAGCCGACTCAAAACGACATTACTGTCACGTCACAAAATAATAGTACCATTTATCCTGTTGCTTCCTGTGACCCGCTCTCACCTCCCCCCCTCCCACACGTCTTCTTTTGAGGCGCCTCAAAACTTCCTGTGACCCGTTCTCACCTCCCTCCCCCTCTCCACATGCCCCCTCCCTCTCTCCCCTCCCTCCCACACGTCTTCTTCTCCCCTGAGATCGCAATCAGCAACGTCGGCACCTCGCTAGCTGAGCTGGTGGATGCTGCTGTGCAGACTCCCGCTCTAAGGTCTGCTTCGGCCCCATTTATTCTCTCCACATGTCCCCCTCCCTCTCTCCCCTCCCTCCCACAGGTCTTCTTCTCCCCTGAGATTGCTGTCAGCAACGTGGGCACGTCGCTAGCTGAGCTGGTGGATGCTGCTGTGCAGACGGCAGCTATCGACACAAGGCGCTCCCTTTACAAGGTAGGCAAGGACTTTGGCCGCTTATAATCGTCCAGTTTTGAGGCATCTCAAAAACAACTATTTATCACCCTTTGCAAGGTAAGCAAGGACTTTGGCTGCTGATCCTTGCCTCTGTGCGTGTCTGTACTGTGTGACTGTACTGCTGGAACCTCCATCAGAGCATTGGCCTCTCATGCGGCCGCACCATGCTCTTCTATGCAACCCCCTTCCTGTTCTGCTTTCTCATCTTTGATGGCACCCTCTCCTTTGCCAGTCATGCCTGCGCTCCTCTCCTTTGCATCTTCCTGTAGGGTGTTGTTGAGAATTTTCCAAAACACCCTGCACAATCTTTGACCGCCTCTGCGCTCCCCTCCTTTGCGTCTTGCTGTTTTGCATTGCCCCTACTCCTGCATCCGAGCAGAACATAGTCCTATCCGGTGGCTCTACCATGTTCAAGGACTTTGGCCGCCGGTTGCAGAGAGACGTGAAGAAAGCCATTGAGGCCAGGATGGCTGGCTCTGCTTCTAGTGAGGTATGCTTCCAGTGAGGTGTGCTTCCAGTAAGGTGTGCTTCCAGTGAGGTGTGCTTCCAGTGAGGTGTGCTTATTCAAGTCGCGGTGTGCTTGGTGGTGAGGCATGGGAGGCTTAGACTACACCAACCTGTATGATCTTAAGCTGTCGGTCACAGAGGGATGTGAAGAATGCCATTAAGGCTAGGATGGCCGGCTCTGCTTCCAGTGAGGTGTGTTTTGGTGAATCGTGTTTATAATGAGATGTGATTACTGTAGAAAGTACATAATGCATGTTTATTATGTGAAGAAGGCCATTGAGGCTAGGATGGGGTGGCTGGCTCTGCTTCCAGTGATGTATGCTTATTCAAGGTGTGGTGTACTTGTAGTGAGGCATTGCGCACATAGAATGCAATGGAGCAACCTGTCTGGATTTAGCCGTCGGTTTCCGAGGAATGTGAAGAAAGCGAGGCGAGGATGGCTGGCTCTGCTTCCAGTGAGGTATGGCAAGGATTCTTTTGCCATGATGCGAAGCTGTTTATAATGAGGTGTGATGGATTGTGCTTATAATGAGGCATGGTGGGGCGTGCGTATAGTGAGGCATGGTGGGGCGTGGTTGTAGTGAGATGGTGGTAGCGGGTGCATCGAGTGAGATATGACAGGGTGTGCTTGTAATGAGGTGTGGTAGGCAAGCTACTGCAGTCACGTGTAGCCCTCCCACCATCCGTTTTTCATCAACCTCTCCATTCACTCCCCATCCTTGATTTTGCAGGGTGTTTTTGAGAATTCTCAAAAACACCATTCATTCCCCATCCGTGCCACCAACAAACCAAGGCACGGCACATGATTTTTGCGTCGACTCAAAACTCAGAAATCACATCCTCCCTGCCCACCCCCCTTGAAACCCAAGGCATTGGACATAGAATTCAGGAATGTCGATCCCCTGTCTGTCGCCTGTCCCCCTTCCTCCTACCCACCCCCTGTCCCCGCTACCCTATCCCCCCATCCCCTGCACACGGCACCGGGCATAGAGGCAACAGTCGTCTCGCGCCACCTGCAGAAGTATGCCTTCTGGTTCGGGGTATCTTCTCTGTAGTCTTCTTTCAGCTATCCCACCCACCCATCCACACCCTCACCGCCTCCCCTTTAGCCCAAGGAGTCGAACATGGGGGGGTCATGGTCACAGTCTGCTGGAGTATTGACCTCTTGTCCCCCTACCTTGTTACCCCCTCCCCTCTCTTCCTCCCAACCAGCCCAAGGCATCGGACATAGAGGTCACGGTGGTGTCACACCATCTGCAGGAGTATGCCGTGTGGTTCGGGGGCTCGGTTGTCGCCTCCTCGCCAGGCTTCCAAGGGGTGAGCGAGAATGGTTCATGGTGGGAGTGGCATCTGCTTGTGGTGTGATCCCTGGGCTCCCAACATCCCTGGTCGCCCAACATCCCTGGGCGCCCAACATCTCTGGGCGCCCAACATCTCTGGGCGCCCAACATCCCTGGGCGCCCAACTGCATTGCTCATTTGCTCTCTGGTTCGGGGGCTCTGTTGTCGCCTCCTCGCCAGGCTTCCAAGGGGTGAGCGCACTGTGTGTTCCCATTTCCGGTTTCATCTGATTCTTTTGGTATGCTGGTCAGCTCGTGTGTGGTGAATCATTCACCCGCAGCTCACTTTTGATAAGCCGCATCTTTTACATGCAAAAAAAATTCGGGTACCAGTTCTTCTCGAACCTGCTTCTCAATTTTTTTTTGCACGGTAATGTGCCTGTTGAGTTTTCTGAAGAGTAACTTGCCTGCCCTCACAGGTGTGCCCCACATGTGCTGCTTACATGGGCCGAGTGTCTATTTGATCTCCCCTTTCTGTGTGTCTAGCTGGATGATAAGCTCTTCCTTGGCTTGACTGTGTGTCTATTCACTCTTCCCTTTCTGGGTGTCCTTGCCCTCCCCTTCCTGTGCGTCTTGTTCCTCTATTCGCTCTTCCCTCAGTGTTCGTCACATCAGGTGTGCACCACATGCGCTGCGTACTTGGAGCACGGGCCAAGCATGTGCATAGCGAATGGGATGATCAGTGCCTTCTTGGCCTGACTGATCCTCTGTGCACTCTTCTGTTTGCGTGTCTTGACTGCTTCTTGGTGAACTTGTCCGTTTCTCTGTGCCCCCCTCCCAGGTGTGCACCACACGCGCTGCCTACTTGGAGCACGGGCCAAGCGTGTGCCGAGCCAACCGGATGATAGGTGCTTCCTTGGCTGGTCTGCTTCTCTCTTCAATCGTCCCTTTCTCCGTGCCCCCCTCCCAGGTGTGCACCACACGCGCTGCGTACTTGGAGCACGGGCCAAGCGTGTGCCGAGCCAACAGGATGATCAGTGCCTCGTTGTCGTAACACCTTGTGTTTGAGTGTTTCACTATTGAGCGCTGACTTGTTTTGGACGGGTCTGGCTGGCTTGATTACGTTTAAAGCATTTGCTCCTTTGTATCCAAAGAACACACTGCTCTTAACGTAGGATTGAATGTCGAAAGAAAAAACGTACAAGGGTATAAAGTGTTGTACCCTCTAAGATACGAACCTAAACAGTCAATACAAACATAACCTATATATCTGTTTGACACACCCCCTAGACTGCATAGGTGCAGTTCCTGATGAGAGAAACGGCAATTCAGGGCGGCACTACTAGTCCAGCCTCTGAGTCAAGGGCCTAAAGACCAGTCAAACAAGTACTGACCAGTACAAGGGCAAGGCCAGGGTGGCACTATTAGTCCAGCCACTGGGAGAGGCCACAAGGCCAGTCAAGAATAAACAAAAGTATATATAAAGGTCAGTACATAGTAAAGGCCCTAGCAGGTGAGAGGTAACAGGAACAAGGCCAAGCTGAACACAGTGCCGCTGATGATCTTTAAGCGCAAGGGCCTTCTTAAAGATATCAGCTGTGTTGGCACCAGATGTCAAGTGTAATACGCGAGCCTGGCGACGCTGCTAGGAGGAAGTACCGCAGCTGGATGTGCTTTGCTCTGCCCTCAAGTCGAGGCTCTTGACACAGGAGGATCATGGCCCTGTTGTCAGCGTACAGGACTGGCGCAGAGCTAGGCCGCTCACCTAAGTCAGTGAGCAGGAAGGTCAGCCAGCGGAGCTCATGTGCCGCCATGGCACCGGCGTAGATCTCGGCCTCACAGCTGGACTGAGCAACAGACGAGGAGCGAGTAGCTCTCCACGAGACAGCACCTGAACCAAGGCTAAAGAAGTAGCCCTGCGAGGACCTAAGGGTCTCTGCGTCGTCTGCCCAAGAAGCGTCTGTGTGCCCAGTAAGGACCACCGGCCTGCGTCCTCCTAGCACTAACCCCATGCCTGATGTACTCGCGAGATAACGCAAAACCCTCTTAGCTGCAAACCAGTGCTGAGGTCTGTGTCTGCCTGTGGCCACAAAGCGAGCCAGGATGCTGAGAGGGTATGCGAGATCTGGACGAGTGCAAGTCATGAGGTACATGAGGCAACCCACCAGCTTTGCGTAAGGACCACTAGGCTCTACTGACTCCTCAGGAACTGGAGCAGAGAGCCTGTGATCTACTGGAAGAGGTGTGGGCTGTGCGGAGGAGAACTGAAGACCGAACCTCTGAAGGACCCGGCACACCAAGTGTGACTGGGTGAGAGTGATGGTGCGCGCTGCTCTGTCTCTGGAGATCTGTAGGCCCAAGTAGTGGTGCAGCTCTCCTAGGTCAGTACAGGTGTGTCTCCTCAGCAGCTCAGCCTTTACAAAGGGCCAGCACGGTGGTGTTTGCAGTGGGAAAGACCAGATCCTCTACGTAAACAAGGATGTAGAACGGAGTCTGGCCAGAACGAACAAAGAGCGAGGGGTCTGCGGAAGAAGGAAAGAACTGCAGGTCTGCAAGAGTAGCACCCAGTGTGTCGTGCCACTCGCGGGGAGCCTGACGCAAGCCATAGACTGGGCGCCGCAGAAGTCACTGGGTCCCAGGAGGGAAGGTACCAGTGAAACCCTGAGGGCGGCGCAGGTAGACCTGCTTGTGTAGACTACCTTGAAGAAACGCAGTGGAGAAGTCGAGGGAGTGTAACTCGTAGTAGTGCCCGAAGAGTAGTCATCTTCGGCGTCGGGGCGAAAGTCTGAAAGAAGTCCACCCCCTCACGCTGACTACAGCCTCTAGCCTCATAGCGCGCCTTGAATACAGGCCGCTCTCCAGGAGGGCGCTTCACCTTGAAGAGCCAGCGGCCATCGACTACGTTCACCCCAGGTGGAGGAACTGCGTGAACGAAGGTGCCAGTGGATCTCCAAGATGCCATCTCCTGCTCCATGGCAGCTATCCACTGAGAGGCCCAAGGTCCCGAGGTCGCCTCAGCGTAAGTGCGAGGGGTAGGGATGTCAAAAGCGTCTGGGTCACCCTAAGGGACTAGCAGCATGGAACAGAGATGGGGAGCAGCCTCGGACAGGAAAGCAAGCTCGTACTGGCGGTCCTTTAGGAAGTGACTGCCGAGGGCAGGAGCACCCCCGACAGACGGAGGACAGGCAGGGTCAGACACCAGAGCGGTGGCGTAGTCAAGGCGGTGGGTAGAGGTGAAGTCAGCGACCGCAGCGACAAGAGCGTCGAGACACGAGACTGGAACAGACGAGTCGGTAACGAGGGAGGCAAGGACCCGAGGAACAAGGGGATGAGCGGCGCGAAGGTAGTCAGACAGAGGGGGAGGCGCAACAACAAGAGAGGATGGAGGCGGCGACGGTAGGAGGGTAGGACGAGACGCGTGGGAACGAAGCAACATAGAGTAAGAGCGCGAGACAGGGGAGACGGGGCGAGCACGGGAGGGACGGCGAGACCAGACGTGAGACAGAGGCGTCGGGTCAGGAGACAGAGGAGGGGACACATGGAGGGGAACGAGGAGGAAGACGAGCCGGAGACGAGTCCGGGAGAGGGAACACAGGGCCGTAGACAGGAAGGGGAGGAGACGGCAGGGGAGGCACAGACACGTGGTCAGGGGACAGGAGGCCGAGCAGGTGAAGGGTTGACACCGGCGGTGACTGCTGCTGCGGCGGCACGACCCCGACACCGGGACGGCAAGCTGCTCCACGGCTACCTCCGGAACACTCCACTCCAGCACCCTCAGAAGAAACACCCCCAGGGCCCGAAACCCCGAGCACACCGGTACCACCCCCAGGCCCGCCGGGACAAGCCACGACAGGAACCCCAGGACTAGTACCCACCCCAGCGCCAGCACCCCCAGAGTCAACGAACTGCTGCTGCGTTGGCTGCGGCGGCAACGGCAGTGGTGACGGCGGCTGCGACAGCGGCGGCGACGGCGGCTGCGACAGCGGCGGCGACAGCGACTGCGAAGGTGGCGGAGGAGGCGACGTCTGGGAAGGGGCAGGCGGCAAGGACAGCGCTGCAGGGCCACCAGAGTCAGCAGACTCCTCAACTGGGACAACCGACAGGAGGGGAGTGACGTGAGACACACCAGACAATGCTGGACAGGGAGGGGGAGGGGGGGGGGACAGGGGCGACCGGGGAAGGGGTGACCAAGAACAGGGGGGGAGTAACCGGGGGACCTCTGTGGGGGAAGCGGCGGTAGAAGGAGACGGACTCGTCAAAGTTGACGTCACGGGAGTGAAAGGACCGGTGAGACGGCGGGTGGTAGAAGTGTCAGTTGGACGCGTCAAGGGGGAAACCAAGGAAGACACAAGGGAGGGTGTGGGTAGTGAGCTTGTTTGTGCCAGAGGAACAAACGTGAGCAAGGCAGCCGCTGACGTGAAACACAAAGGCGTCAGCAGGAGACCCGGACCAAAGAAGGGTTGGCGAAACCTGCGGCTGCTGGGGGTGCGGCTACAGGTTAAGCTGGTGAGCGGCGTAGCGAACAGCGAACGGCCACAGAAAATGGGGTGCACCCGCATGGATCATGGAGGTACGGGCCACCTCCATGACCAAGCCGATGCATCGCTCAGCGACCCCATTCTGCTGCGGGGAGTCCGGCAGGGTGAACGTCTGGGTGATGCCCTCCGCACGACAGAAACGACCAAGGACACCAGAGGCAAACTCGCCACCACGGTCGGAGTGGAGACGCAAGACAGGGAGACCGCGGTGGACAAGTGCAGAGACAAGCCACGGGATGAGAACGTCAAGCACATCTGCCTTCCGCTCCAGGGGGAACACGGTGGTGTAGCGCGTGTAGATGTTAACAAGCACTAGGAAGTAGCGCTCTCGACGCGGCCCATGGACGGGGGCGGGGCCCCAGACGTCCATGTGCAGGGTCTGTAGCGGTGCGGCGGTAGGGGGGAAAGAGGAGGAGTGAGGGGCATGGTGGAGCCGGCCCTCGATACAGGGCGTGCAAGGTGGTGCTGGGGAGGAGGGCAACTCGGGGAACGACCCTGGGAGACCTAGGACAAGACCGTGCTGTGACATGTGACGTAGGCGCTAGAGGGCGGGGTGACCTAGATGGTGGTGCCACAGGAGTGTCGGGTGAGTGAGCGACCAACAGGAGCAGGCCGCAGCAACTTGGGTAGACGCAGCCACCTGAGAAGACGTCCCTACCTGGGGGTCACAGTGTCCAGTGTGAACAGGCCGGACACCGGGTCCCGGGGGAACGTGGTGAGGGGGGCAACCAGTGGCGGCCTCGGTACAGACATCGTACCGCTCGTGACCAGGGAACGTAGTGGTGACACCAAGGTCTTGGAGGCAGCCGACACCAACTAGGTTCCTGGAGAATGAGGGGATGTGCAGGCCTGTAAGAGAGCCTAAAGGAAGCGCCGGACAGGGAAGGGTGGTGGAACTGCGAGCGACTACCGGGCAGGAGGAGGGGTCGGCACAGGAAACTGCAGCAGGAGTAGCAAGCGGCGTCAGCGTAATGGAGTCACGGAAGAAACACCGAGAAGCGCCAGAGTCAAGGGTGAAGGAGAGCGCAGCGGTGGCGTCTGAAGACAAAGCAGCGACAGTAGAACCTAGGCTAAACAAAGTGGGGGATCCTACGCATGACTCAGCAGGGGAGGCAAGACTAGACATGCCGACACTAGGCAACAAGGGGTAGTAAGAAGCAGTCACACTAGAGTCATCAGCATACATCACATGCAGGGCAGCAACAATCTCATCCATAACCATATCGAAACTCTGAATGCTACGGCGAAACAAGCTATGCTAGTCGAGGAGGTTGGGCGACGGGCCGAAGCGCTGACGAAACAGGTCGTCCAGGCGACTGAAACATCGGACGGAGGTGTGACCGATCTTACCGCAAACAGAACGACGACGAGGACCGGTCTGGAGCTGGTACTGACAGCGCGCGTCACCCGACTCGCCACCCGGCAGCCCACCACGTGCACTACCACCACGTCCAGCGCCACCACCAGCGCCAGGCCACCCGGGCGGGAGGCCACTCGCCTGCCTCTGCTGCTGCGGCTGATGCGGCTGCTGAGGCTGGTGCGAGGGCTGCTGCTGCGGTTGGTGCATGTCCGGCTGCGACACCTGCGGCTATTGAGGCGGCTGCTCGGCTGCACCTGTCAGGGTCCCCTCGTCAGCGCTACCACTGGGCGACCCGACTCCACCATCACCTCCACCTGCACCTCCACCTCCACCTGCCCCAGCCTTGGGGCG